ATTCCGCTGTCACGCACGAGCTTTTCGCGTGCGTCGCGCGTCGCTTTCGGTCTGCAGGAGCAGGAGCGCGGCTGGTTATGCCAAACGAGAAAGCAACATACCTTTGGTAAGCCTGACACTACCACCAGGCTGCATTCTTACCAGGATCTTGCTGAGTTGTTTTTTCCGCAGCCGCCCGCAGTCTTCACAAAGGACATAACAGGCGCCAATGGAATGCGACAACAGTCGGCTCGGGACTTTTCACGATATCTTGCTGGCCAACTGCCGCCGCACTCAGATGCACTCTACAACGCGACTAGCTTACTAGGTGCGCATCGTGAAGAAAATCCTCGTGTGGAGTAACTGGATCTGCAAAGAGAAGGACCGATTCAGGTCATCATTCTGCGGAGTTCGACTAATCGGAACAGGTGGACATTGTATGTACAGCAAAGTACAGTAGCACACCTCTACTGCAGCTGCTAGCAGTCCAACGGTGTGGCTCTGGTGTACCGGCTATCATGAGAATCGCGGCTTGGCTCTAGATCCCTAAATGTCAACAGGGTCTAGCATGCGAAACGCAGACATGGAAGCCATGGTTGCGCATTTCAGATGATCTTGCGTTCGCATGCGAGCAGCTCGTTCTGCCAGATCTATGACGACATCGATCTACTCCCGCGGTCAGAGATCGGTCTGGAATGTAAGATCAAACCCACGCACGCCCTTGCCCCCCAAACACAGTTTGACTGTCATTGGTGAACTGCCACTTCAATTGCTTGAGCTTTCCACGGTAAGGTCCCGACGCCTCACTTCATGCGAGATTACCCTGTCGCTTCACCTGGTGAATTCCCGGATACTGGAATGCGAATGCGAGACGTAGATCTCTGGATCCTCCCGCGTCGGCACGCGGCGGCAGCTCCACCACAGATCATTCGCCGCTTTCGACAATGTTGGCTGCCACTACTCCGTGTGAAAGACGGCACAGGAGCAAATCAGCATAAGCCGACAGCTCACCTCGTGCAGAGCCGTTTCTGGCCCAAGTTTGCATTTAACGTTTAGAAGGCAGCGCTACGCTTGTCACGAAACGCTCTTTTCGGCACGTTACGCTACGAGAGGTAATAGCCAATTTACGCGCAGCCAGATAAGCGCTCGTTAAAGCGGCACAAGATCATCAAGTGGGATAGAGTTTCTGACTACATCTGCCAAGCTCAGACGAGTTCGCGCCATGAGGGCGCCTCGGCAAACAACGGGATGATGTCGACGCCATCGCCATCAGATGCGATAGGTAAGAGACCTCGCATGTGTAGAGGGCTAGTGTCTCGAGTCGGCTGCCCTTCTCTTCACCGGTGTAGGAACACCTGAGCTTCGAATATACTAACGACATAGTCACAGTGAAAGCCACGTCGCCAGCGCATTGAAGAATATTCCTTTCGGGTTCGAGGCGCTTGCGGCCATACTCCATTGATGTTCGCGCCGGCTTTGCTTTTCACGAAAATCGCCTACGGAGTGGACTCTCGTACGACGTGGCGCTGCAAACCTCCAGACGCTATTAGGGCGTTTCGGCTTGCCCTGCATTAGAAGGCTGGCTAGCCTCTGCCATTTACACGTGATGAACACGGTGGACTGCGAAATTGTCTAATGGCTAGCGATAACGCGTCGATCCCACGCTACACCCGCTATAACCGGGTAGGTAAGCCTCCGCGATTCGCTAGGTCGAGGCTACATACCTAGACAAACCCGCTCGTCTCCTTGATGTTGTGGATATGCGGTCACCGACGCATCAGGCCGAAGATGGACGGCCAAATGCGGCCCCATGCTGGTCCCTGTTGCATCACTCAAAGTGGATGTCTGCCCAAAGAGAAATGGCGGAGATACTGATCAGCAGCCTGGATGTATACCGGAATACTGGATGGGCCGTCGCTGCTAACGAGAAGTGGCAGCCCATCACGAGGGGAAAGATGCCTATCCTCTAGGTATCAATTCAACGAGCCACCAGGCCGAGGTACAACACTCGATAGTTCAGCATGAGATGAAAAACAGGTACGCCATGCCTCCTGACGTCTATCTCCGTCACTAAAACGTACCGTGGGCGCCTGCGAACTCCGCTCCGACCTTCAAACTTTCCGTGTGCCTGGGACCGCTACTACATACCGGATTAACATCCGACAAAACCTGCCGCTCACGTTGCTTTTCGTCGCATGCACATACGTTTTGCTGTGGCTGTGGGTTCTAGAATCGTCAAAGTGACAGGGTCGCATTCTAGGGTATCAATTGTCGTGTTCCCCACCTGTATTGATCGACAATCAGGTACGGCGGTGAGTTTACGCCAGTGCTTTTTGTGAGGACGTGGCATATCGATATGCGGACAGTGGATAATCTGCTTCACTCTGGCATGCTGTTACCGCGATGGCAGATCATCTCTTGCATATTCGGCACACGACCCATCCGGAGCTTCAGATGTTTTACCATCAGCGTAGTACCGTCTACCAGCTCTGAAGCTAGGCAATATTGGCTGGATAAAGGGAACTCTTGGCCGCTTCTCCTGAGATCCCCACGTCAGTAGTGCTCGATTGCGTTTGCGGCTGGGTAGATAAACAGGGTAGTGCAGATCGTGAGCTCTAAGCTGCTTCCCCACGTGAGCAAGTATCCTAGATGAGTCATCTAGGCTTGCTGGGGAATTCGGTTGCTCTTGCAGCCTTGTTCACGTCTGGGTTGATAGCCTGGCAAGAAAAATGCTGGTCGACCTGGGTGTGAAAACGAGGCGAGTCGAAGTAAGCTTGATGTAGCTCAGTGGGCCACACGTCACTGTCGCTGAACTGATGTAAGGACTGCCACAATGACTTTGCTAAGAACAGTGACTACTCCGTTACCATCTGGCGACGTGAACGATTGGATGAATCGGAACAAAGTATCCTCACCTACGCATTTGCCTATGAGGCATGACACGGCATGACAGGTATGAGTGATTAATGCAGCGTACACTTGCTATGCATACGTCGAGAAGCACTTGTTCTCCACCGGATACCTCAACACCGACACTTACTATAAGTGTCACAGCTCATGCTCCTTGCTGTCTGCTTTGACTCTGACGGTTCTGTCTCAAAAGGCTTCCTTGATCCACTGTCTTCTGACCCGCCTTTGTTAAGATCTCACGGGAACTTCTCGCTAACATAGTGCTTTCACAGTAGAGTGTTGATGTACAGCAGGGCATCAAAACGCCTAATACAGGGCTATAATGGCACTGATTCGAAGAATGCGCGGGCATACTACTTGCATGTAAACGCCAGGTTGCTATCACCGACAAAGAAGTGATGTGGTAGGTGTTTACCTCTGTCGTCTCCGCGCTGTTGACATGTCTTGATGGCAGTCTGCATCTCTCGTCTTTCGATAGGACTCTGACTGAAGATTCTTGGAACGCCAACATGTACAAGATTTCGTTTTGCAAAACTTGTATTGACAGCGCACACCATTGATCGTCACGATTATGGGTACTTTTCATGACCCATTCTCCGCATATACTGATCGCAAAATGGTAGCGAAGACCGCATGCAGAATACCCCCGACCAAATTTTCGTCGAAGTAGCAAAAGCATGGCATGCACACTCGGATACCGAGGTCAGTTCGGGATGGAGATAGACGCATACACATTGTGATCTTGATCATTTCAATATTACCGTATTGATGGATGATCTCATTTTGATCTCAACAAATTCCGGTTGAAGTTTGTCAGGAGGCAAAAAAGGTGTAATATATCAGTAATCGGAAATAGACGCAGAGGTAGTAATGCTAATTGTGAATAGGGAGCGAGCGCATGCATCAAGCTCGACAAAAAAACAGCCTCTTGCATGAGCGGCCAGTTCTGATAGAAGAGATGAGGTTATTCTTCGCCGTGTACCTCTTCGAGATATAAGAAGGTGACATCAGGACAGCTCACTGTTTCGCCACTTGGGTACGCTGGGAAAGATACTACTATGACTAGGACTTGGAACAAGGGCATGTCTGGGTCGTGGCTTTGTCTCTCAGGGAGAATTGTTCCAGAATCACAGTCGAATGTGTGCGTTCATGAAGTTCGGCTGCGGTAGCGAGGGTCGACGATCTAGATACTGCAGCTGTCCGTTGGCGCTACTACCACGGTACGGTAGTGCATGGCGGAGACATGGACGCGCCACAGAAGCGGGAGATCGTCCAGGGCCCATCTGTCATCTCAGATCTGCCACATGTCACAACAATCCGATGGAACCAAATCTTTGACGGCACCAGATTTTTCCGACGACAGCTGAGATGCAAGAGGCAATTAGCGAGGGCGGAAACTTTGATGAGGTGCAGCAGGAGTCATGCGGCTGGGACAGGGGTTCGTGGTTGCGCAACCCAACGCGGCTCACGACGGTCCACGATTGAGACTGAGCTGCAAACCTCACTCCCACAAAAGTACTTTTCGCGGCCATTCCTCGTACCCTTCTGGCGCACACGATAATCGGCGAGCGACGCGACACGACCCAGGCAGCGCGTGGTTGCACGGAAGACAGTACCGCGATCTCCAGACCTTGCCTGTTCGGTGAGGCTTGCGGCTAGCCCCCGTCGACTCGAGCAAGATCATACGACTTGTCGAACCACCCCAACACCCATCGACACGCGCAAACAATCACAGCCCCGGCCCCGTCGCACGCTTCCTGCAGGCCATTCGCTTTCACGGTAGTGCAGCAAATCCCGGCGCACACTGAGGCAGAGGCAGCCCGTCCGATCTGCCGCCCGCAGTCGCGTCGTGAGCCCGCGAAGGAGTGGCATGATTTCCATGTGCATGTAGTAGCTGGTAAGGCGGAGCCCTCTCTTTCTCTACCAGACCCGTCCTCTGTATACACTATACTGTCCCTCTTGTTCGCCGTCTGTCGCCGCCGTCGCCGTCGCTTTGTCGCAGCTAGCAGCCCGACGCCGTCCTAATGGCTTCTGACCCGTACGGCAGCCCCGACGATGGGCTGGAGCTGGAGCGAATCGCCGTGCGTGACGCAATGCTTTTGCACTTTTGCATGTCTCGAGTCTCTGCTAACATGGCCTTGCACCATCCAGGTCGGCCCCTACTGTGTGTTTGACGACTTCCGCCTGCCTCCAAGTCCCCCGCCCATCCACCCGTCGCCTCCCGAGGCCAAGCGACCCACGCCCCAGATGGAGGATCCCATGCTGTCCAGCGACTTCCCCTTCGCCAACATGCGCGGACCGTGGCTCACCACCGCCGGCGACGACATGCCCCTCACCGCGCCCGCTGACGACATGACCAACTGGAACGAATGGATGCAGTACGATCCCGCGCACGCGTCTCAGAACTCCCAGAACGTCGACCCCAAGCCCGCGAATCCGCAGGGGCCTGCCGCATATCTCAGCCCGGATCAGCAAACTTCTCCGCCCCATCTCCTTCCTCACCAACAGTCCCAATCGCTGCAATCCAACACCGTGCCGACTACCGCCCCCATGTTCGCGCAATCCCATGGCGTCCCCTTCACCTTTGGCCAGGGCGCTGACATGCCGCCGGCCTTTGACTTCAACAGCGCTGACCTGAGCTCTCCACTGACGGCTGAGATGCAGCAGCAGCACGCCTACTACACCTCCCAGCAATGGCAGCAGCAACAACAGCAGCTGGCTGAAAACACCCTCTTCTCCCCCACGCAGTTCGACCAAACTGGCTTTGTCGCACCGCCCGCCTCCACGCCCAGCCTCCACCACAGTCCCACCTCGCTGACCAACGGACGAGCCAGCTCGACCTCGTCGCATTCATCACCAGAGCCTGCGACGAACAATGCGCGCAAGAGAAAGTCACTGGCCGACTCGGAGGAGCTCGACGACGATGCCCCGTCGAGCAAGAAGGGCGGCCCGCCCAAGAAGACCGCCCACAACATGATCGAGAAGCGCTATCGGACGAACCTCAACGACAAGATTGCTGCTCTTCGCGATAGTAAGTCATTTCTCCATGCGCAGTTGACACTAGCTGATTGACATTGCAGGCGTCCCAAGTCTTCGCGTCATGTCGCGGCCGAACGGTACAGAAGAAGACGACGACCCTGAGGACCTTGAAGGTCTCACGCCCGCACACAAGCTCAACAAAGCAACCGTCCTTTCCAAAGCCACTGAGTACATCCGACACCTCGAAAAGCGTAATAAGCGTCTACAAGATGAGCTCAACACTATGAAGGGCAGGGTCGAGAGCTACGAAAAGATGGCCATTTCGGGTCCCATAACACTGCACGGCACTGTCAGCACGCCAGATGGTTCAAGATTCCACAAGGATCCTTTCACGCCGACACACAGTATGCCCATGTCAGGACCACCACAAGGAATGATACCCGTCCCAGAGAACATCAGCGCCCTCCAGCGCGGCATCCCACCGCAACAGCACTATGCACACGCATATCCTCCCGGCTATGGCGGTCGCCCAGCAGTGGGCGCACCTATGGTCAACGGACGACGTAACGGTGCTATGATGGGCAAGCTCATGGTCGGATCTCTTGCTGGTCTCATGATACTGGAAGGACTTGCAGAGCGCGAGCAGTCACAAGAAGAGCCAGCCGGACGCGGTCTATTCGCCCTGCCCGTCAATCTGGTCGGAATTCTTGCCCCTCGCGTCTCCCTAGGTGTCTCCACAGCTCAGATCCCTCTAGCCAAGCTGCTGTTGGTATTTGCCGCCTTCTTCTACCTCGTTGCGCCACTGCTCGACTTCAAATCGAAACCGAAGAGGAAGTCGCCGCCCGCAGTTCTGTTGACACCCGCGCCATCACTGGCTTCACCGGTCGAAGTACGTCGAAAGGCATGGCTCACTGCAATCCAAACAGTCTGGGTACCTCAACACAACTTCATCCTCGAGCTCGCTGCTCTGGGCCTCAAGACCCTCAAGCTCAGCATGCGAAGGCTCATTGGATGGGAAGGATACGCCTATCTCACCGGTATTACCAAGGAACAAGAAGCCGCTCGTGTCAAAGCTTGGGAGATCGCATTGGATGCGCAGCTCACAGGCGGTGACGCTGAGATCAGCACGAGCCGTCTGGTGCTTACTTTGATTGCTTCCGGTACCTTGCCCGATACGCCCGCGAGACTCATGCTCAAGGCCCTGCATATCCGGATTGTGCTTTGGGAGCTTGGGAACGCAGGTCATGGCTCGTGGTGGATGCTCAACGAGCTGAGTGCGAAACTGGCCCGAAGCTACTGGAACATGGCACGGAGCGAGCACCGCATCGCCACCAACATGTCGAAGCAGAACAATGAAGCTGTGCCATTGCCAGAACATCTGGCAGCACTTATCGAGAGGGAATGCGATGAGGTACTTGTTCCTGCAGTTGTGCAGCGCGCATACAACCTGGCTTGGAACAGGCCAAGCGCAGAACAGACAACCGTAGACACCTCCATGGACGCTGTTGTCGAGGACTTTGCCATCTGCTCTCCATTGGATGCGCTTGCGGCCTGGTACTCTAGCCTTGTTTTGAACAAGGGACTCGCAGCCACACTTGGTGCAAAGAACAGCTCATCCAAGGACAATATCGTCTCGGATCTAGCACTCGCTCTCCGCGCTGCCCCGCCGAACTCACAAGCTCAGCTCCGTGCGCTAGTTGCTCAAGCTGTTGTACTCGACGAAGACCGAAACACTCGCATCGCAGCAGCACTCGAAGCCCTTCCATCGTCACCTAAGCCTGCTGATGCCGGCTTCATCAACGTTGTCGGTAACGGCTTCGTTGCAGTCGACGTGCGGAAGGGCCTCACTTTGGCCAAATGCCTCTCGCTGGCCGCTTCTTCGAATCCCGAAGCCCGCCGCCGCGCCATCTTCGTCATCAACAACACCTACCTCCCCGAATGCACAACCACACTGCTCAGCTTCGTTGCTGCTCACAAGGTTCTTACGCAGTTCATGGCAGACGACACGCTGAAGAAGGAAACTAGCTGTGGTCTAGAGAGGACTGCAAGTTCCCTTCGCATGTGGATCGGTCACGAAACAGGCAGGAGAAGTGGCCTGACCAACAAGGTTCGGAGCAAGATCATAAGCAGTTGTCTCGACGCTAGCAAGATGCTAGTTGGACTGGCCGAGAGCAAGAAGAAGGATGACGCGGACGTGGATGATGGGTATGCTAGTGCGAGTGTCAAGGATGACTGAGGGTTTGTATCTATGACTTCCCATGCGATGAGACTGGCGTTTGGGATTGAACGAGGTGGCAATATTCACATCTCACTGGCGTTTATACGGATATTTACACGGCATGGATATGTCTGATGTATGGGTTATCTGGCTTACGAGCCTTCCTTTCTTTGTAGCATTTGTCTTTTAGTTAGGCTCGCATGGTGTATACCCCATACACTTGATAGTACTGTGCAATCGACTTTGTTCGGCGTTTCAGACGTTGCCTTCTAACTGCGAACATGCATCTAGTGTCCATGTTGATTGCTGTTGTGTGTTCGGTCTTGGTACAATCTATTTGGTGCCGACGAAGTGCAATTTTAAAATTGTGCCACGCGTCAATGCTGCCATGTCCGAAAGCACACTTTCGCGTGTCTCATACAGATACCTCGTGGAACTTGAAAGATGCGCCCAAGAAGACTGCGCGCAATGATATAACTACGCGATGGGGTTGGAGCAGTGCAAGAAGACCCAATGAAGTGTGCGAAATATCAGAATTACCTGGGGACCATTGTGTATCTCAAATGAAGCGATGGCACTGGGGCATGATCCTCCTTCTCGTCCTCTTATAGCAAGACAAAGACAAAAGCCCCCGAGTGGACTTCGGCCGTTCTTTTCAATGACCGGCTGTCAAAACGGTGCATGAAGGTGTCTGAGGTCAGTCACAACTAGATTGAGGGTAGTTTCAAACGACAAATTCAACCGAGCACGTATCATGACGTCGATGAAGCCGAAAAATGTAGAAACGACGGCAGTCGACTCCCGTCGCGACGAACGGAAGTCCGTGTTGCTCGACAAAAATCTGCAGAATTTCGGGGGGTGCCATCGTCCCGAACGGTATGGCCCGAAGAGTAAGGATGACTTACATGCTGAAAGGTGTGGGGAAGCGACGTTGACCTTAATACTGGTATAAAAAATACATAAAAAAACAAGTCAATTCGTATACCTAGAACGCTTACATACTACAATACATATAGATAGAAACGCAGAGAGTTGAATCTCGACAAAACTGCCCATATCCGTTGAGAAGGAAGTAATCCCAAGCTCGGTTCATTCACACGTTAGAAATAGCATAATAACTAACAGCAATGCGAAGCACCGTTGCTGCCGCTGTGTTCAACAAGGCCTGGCCCTCCTGAAGATGAAGCCGAAAAATTTCCGGAACTGAGAGCCCCGAACATAGGGTCCAACCACTTGTCGACGGTGTAGATGCATGCACCAGGGACACAGTATGCTTCGCTCTTGACAGCAGCGTTGTTGACGCTCGTGATAGCGCCTTTGCTGTCCCTTCGGACGGTCGCGGGGAATCCAACGATGGACTTCTCCTGGCCGGTCGATGTCGTGTCGATGCAAGGGTACTTGAGCAAATAAGAAGACAGCGCGTTGTTACTGGGTTGAAGAACCTTTGCGCTTTGTCCGAGAGCCGCGAGTGCCTCGTTGCTTGGGGCGAAGATGGAGAGGTTCTTGCCTTGACCGAGAGATCCGTCGAGAAGGTAGACGAAGTCTGGGGATGTCGCGTTTAGGAGCTCTACGTATGTCGATAGGTCTTTCTGGGAAGCTAGGGCTGATGCAATGGAGCCTTCGTTCTGAGACGCTGGGTATGCGGTAGATGTAGTGTTGTTGAGACTGTCAGCCCCGTAGAGTCCAGCGAAGGAATCGAGGAATGATGTGATTTTGAAGATGGCTCCGTTTCCGACCTCGGTTCTCGACTCGGAAACTAGGTTGGCTTGCTTGTTGACTGAGACGGTCTCTCCCGCCGAGCTGAACGAAAGAGGTGTGCCTTCGATGGCTGTGACAGACTTGCCCGAAGTCTTGACATCTTCCGTAGTGATCGATCCTTGTGCGATGTGGCTTCGCAGGATAAACTCGAGTAGTGGATACGATGTCGGTGCCGTCAAAGCTGTGCTTAGTTCTTGGGGTAGGTTCTTGAAAGCCTGTACAGGTCAGCAATCCAGAAGGCAAGGCAGCATTCGGTATCATTGCTTACCGAGTTGACGGGTGCAAATGCTGTGTACTTGCGTCCATCAGTGAGATTGTTGAAGCGCTCTTCAAATTGCGGACCAGGAATGCCGCTGCTACCACCCGTGCTCTTGATGAGGCTGTAGAAGACGGAAAGGTCTGGGTCATTTGAAATGGCAGTCAGGAGAGGGGCAGAGTCCTTGGTGGCTCGTTCGACTGCAACCGGAGAAGACGCTGCGAGCATGGAAAGCAAAGCTACTGGGAGAATGCGCTTGGCTAGCATCTTGATATCTTGATGTATAGCTTTAACTTGAACTTGAGGATCGATGAACTGTTGGCTACGACTTGTTTGTCGTTCACTTGATGCTACGGACGGTCAAGCGAGGGCCTTATATGTTTGTGTACGTCCATAGCTATACTAGCTTTCGGACCGTGTTAGAGCAAATTGTTTCGTTGTCAGAGGTTTGAGTTTGCCGTTAGGTAGTCCGTAGTGTATGATGGAATGCTACCAGATGGTGTAGCTTTCGGGCGAGCCAATCAAGCCAGAGGAATATCAGCAACTAAGGGCCACTGTACCCGAAGGCGAATAGACCTTGACTACATCATCAACGTTGCGTCGGTGTTCTTCTTCGTCCGTTGTCATCTGTGACATCGGCAGGTATGACCGCCAAACATTTCGATACTGTGATGTGGATCAATATGTGGGGAGTACGAGGTTGATATCGGGAGGTTGGAGAGGTAGCATAGCAAATACTGAAGGCGCAGTGGAGGTAATGAAGGGGAGCGCCACAAGGAATTCTGCCGATCTGATATCATAAAATACCCGACGCGCCAAGAGCAGCTAACATCTTGTGGCTTTATGACGCCGTCGATAGAGTTGCATCACTACCTAGGTAGGTGCCACAGTAATTCGTTTCGGCATTTTGGGTGACGCATGCTGAGTGACCCTGCAACGGATCGTTATTGCGCCATCGTGATATTCCTACCTGAGTTGGTGACAGAATGGATGCGACGGGATTGCCATCCCTGTTGGAGATCTCCCGAACACCAATTCATGACACAGACACACATGCAATCAAGGCCGCCCGTGCTGCGAGTTAGTATGCCAAGTCATCCACGCACGAAGCCCCCGCGCGCACTAGTACACCGGTAGTGGAGGAAGATTGCATCATTTGCGCGTGTGGCAGGTAGGCTATTCTCGACGGAGACCAGTCCGCAGTAAACCTACAGGCGGACGCGCAGCGCGTTTATACGAAGATCAGTCCCGTACAGTCCGTCTCTTCCCACTACTCGGCCTTCAACAAGGACGATAGGTTTCCTGTATGAGTTTTTAGAAAGATCTTCAAATCTAGCATACTAGAAACTCCTGCTCACCATGATCACGCCAGCCCTGCTGTATGGAAGATAGACCAAGAAGATGCTGTAGACATAACAAGAGCACCAGAAACACCAAGTCTTTCTACCGCTTCAAAAAGTAGTAGGGAACGATAGCAGCTCCCACCATAGCAGAGATAGCCAGCCATCTCATCAGACCCTTGTTGATCATCTTTTTAGCCAATCTGTCGATCGCTTCTCCGTCGTTGATTCTCGGGAACGGAATATCCTTCGGCACCTCCTTCCCCAGCGCCTTACATAGCGGCTCCCAACCCTCCTTAACATCGAAGAAGAACAGTTTTTCCTCGGGCACCACCCTCCTCAAATAAGCGATGTGCGCCTCGTAGTCTCGGGTGGAGACCCCATCATGCGTTCCATACACCTTGATCCATTGCTTCCTCAGGCCGTTTGTGTAGTCGACAAAGTGGCGCATGCCTGGGAGAGGAAAGAGTACAAAACGTAAAAACCACAATGTCGTTGCGTTTGTTATGACTCCTATGCTCTTCACCCACGCATCTGGATCCCGAGTCGTGCATATGACCAGCGCATCAGGATAAACTTCGACTAGCTCTTCTACCAGCACGTTGAATGGGATGTCGGTGGCTGCCGCATAGCCGTCCAAGCGCTGCTTCAGTAGATTGTGGAGAAGCTGTTTCTCGGAGGGCGACTTCGGTGGCGAATGATCAAGTATCTTCATCAACGGTTTGATCTCTTTCTCGGCGCCCAGAGTAGCCTGCGTACCAGCGTGGTAGACAGGCCCGTTGAGCAAGATGCTCAATGCTTCGCTGAAGGAGGAAGTTCCGGTGCGTGAGAGGCCAGCACCGATTACTTGGAACTTAGTGCCTGGCTGAGGAACGGAGGGTTGGTTGCCCATTGTTGATGCTAGACTAGAATTATACTCACGAGGACTAAGTGGTTAGATAGCTATTTATATAGGTCGTTGGTCGATCTCGGATCTACTCCGGTGTAAAGCGGCCTGTGGCGCTCTCGGACCTGTAGACGATTGCTCGCTTATAGTTAGCCCTTCACTGTAGCCAGCGGGATTGCCCCCGGGTTAGATAGATGCCATCCTTCAGCGGATTTCGCAGTACTCTGAGAGGATTGCGCATCATGGCGGCGCGCCTTAAAGGAGCGAATTTTTTATTAAGACTATCAGTAGGTTCTAATTGTGGTTGTTGGTGCGATGAGCCGCTGTTTAGCTATCTTTCGCCGGCTTATAACCGCAAGCGGGCCGACGATGAGCTGTCAGTGAGTAATTGCCGATGTACGAACTGCATGTGAGACAAACACTGACTTCGTGCATCCATCTTTAGGTGAAGCGCAGAGGGTTTACAGAGCATTGAATGTAAATTGACGGTGACCAATAAGCCCGGGCAATCGACAGGCCGGCGAGCAGGTGATGGCGTTGGTGCTGCTATGTACAACAGGGTGAAGCTCCGGTGAAGGTCGAAGTTCGTTGTCGCCAGGTGTGATCATGTTTCGTGAGACTCTTGGCGTCACCTTACACTTGGTGTTGTGTAACCCTACAGATGTGGGGCGCGTGCCGCGTCTGGTCCATCCTCGATTCCATGACTATGTAGCGCCCTTTGGTTGACATCAACCTTGAAAGCCGCAATTTCTTAGGTTACAGTGCTTCGTCTAGATTGTTCGGTCTTCGAGTTGAGCGCACCACCGGGGATCGGATGGGACCGACAGACTGCCAAGGTTACGGGTAAGACTAAACGTAGATGTACGAAATCAGCGTAGGCCTCACATGCAGTTCGCACAGAGAGACTTACTATGTCGAGATAATTCTCTCATGAGAACAAACCATAAGGGTAGTTTCGCAGTTCTCTACGAAGCATCTTATGAAACTGGTGTACACCGTGTGCGCAGGGAGTCTCGACTCCTTGTACGGAATCTTTTGAAGTCGCCGGTCACTTTTCTGTAGACTTTGCTGGACATAGATGCCATCCGTGCGGAGATGTGGACACAGGGGCTGAGCTAGTTGCTTCAAGTGCTGTTGGATATCGATTATGCTCAAGTCGCCAGTGCCGGCAATAATGGCCCATGATGGGTGACCACTAACCCTCCAGGTGTCGTCTGCAAGATTCTGTAATCGAGTGCAACAATACCAACTTTGTTCAAATCTCCAATCCGACATGCGTGATTTCAGCTGGTCGTACGTGAGATAATAGTGAGAACAGATACGAAAAGCAAGATTTGCACCATGGCATCTTCGTATGTGAGGGGATCGCAGCATTTCCGCTGCAGTGAACATCCGCTTCGGATGAGTTGCGTGACAGGCTGAGCAGAGGAGCTCGGCTTGTCTTTCTTCCTCGGCCAGCTTAAAGTATCGCTCGTTTTCAACGTCCCTCGCAAGTCTTTCCTTCAACACCTCCCGTTCGTGCACCTCTAGGTCAACATTTTGCACGTCGTGCAAGAGCAAGGCGTATCGGCGACACGCGAGCCGCAGGCAATACTTGTCGCTAGGTTGCATCCGTTCTGCAATATCGAGTACGAGTTCAGGGGGCAAGCGGTATATGTGAGAGGTACTGGCGTTCCGAATCTCGATGGACTCTGCGAGCTGATTGGCCTTCTTTCTGCGCTTCATTGTTGGGGGCCAGCAGTTGTTCTTGTACTCTGTCAAGAATCTGGATAAGGAGACGTGCATGGTGGGCGTCCTTGCTGTCATGCGATGGGCGTCTGGCGTGGGCATTGTAGATGCTGATTTCGTTGTCGTGAGCGACAACGACGACGGAAAGACACATAACTCTGGCTCTCAGACAATACTTTGGTAGGGCGTCAGTCGATGGGTAATGAAAGACCCTTGGAGGGGTAATGTCTACGTGGAGTCATGGTCCAGGGTCAACAGGCGTCCTCGGTAGCCAGTACTTGCGCCTTGTTCACCAATTTGAAGACGATTTTCAACGCTTATTGCTGGAAAATAACATCATGATTTGAGGTTCTCAAGACACAGTTGATCGTTCCACAGGCAGCGGCGATGTGCCTGTAATGATGAAGCGTTGGCGCTCTCAGTCCCCAGCCTCGTCATGGCTGTCGCTCGAGTTGTATGCATAAAGTGAACACGACGACCAGATTTCCGTGCTAAAAGAAACGAACGAGGTGGGAGAATGCGTGAAAGGGGTTTAGGCGTGGTTGAGAGCAATTGCAGGTGTAATGTTCCAAGGCCTGCCCAAAGCACGTGCGGCGGCGCTAGTGGCCCTTATGTCATCACAGATTGTGCTAACTTTTTGATAGTAGGGCAATCATCGTCACCAGCAGCTCGAGGCCCAACACCACCAACCCATTCCGACTTACATCTGTCGCTAACGCCTTATACCCTAACCACACCAATCGCACTCCCGAACAACCGCCAAAATGGTCAAGCTCGAAGAGGTCATGGATGAGGAGTTTGTGCGCGAGCAGGAAGGCCCGCATGACGACGATGAGTGGGACACCGACTCAGGTACGATACTGCAAACCGCTCCTTAGATGCGCCTGGCGCATAGAAGTGAGCATACCACATATATTCGAATACTAAATGTACAACTGCAGAGTCAGACACATCCTCCATCCACTCCGTAACACCCGACGAGACCCTCTACGACCGCATCATTGCCCTACAAGACATGATCCCCGCCAGCACACGCCGATCCGTCTCTTCAAAAGCCAACACAATCACTTCATGGTTCAAGAGTGGTCTGAACATGGGCGGCAAGACTCTCTGGGTAGTAAGCACAAGTGCGCTGCTGCTTGGTGTGCCATGGGCATTGGCGTACAGCGAGGAGCAGATGATTGTTGAACAGGAGAGGGCTGAGCTGCAGGCACAGAGGGCGCAAAACGAGGTACGTGAAGCAGTTCCACGACGAGCGCTTTGCAACATCTTACTAACTTTTGACAGTTCATGGCTCCCGGTGCGCCCGTACCTGGACAGCCAACAGGCGCAAAGCCTGCTTTGTAGACGACAAAAATTTCGATTTGGCGTTTCGACTGAAAGCGACTCAAACATTAAAAACGTTGGGCTCTTCACATCTGTTTTATTAGGATGACGGTGCATGGAACGGGCTGAACCTGTACATACAGCGGCGAGAGTTTTACGCCGTCACGATCTGTACTATATTTCTCGACTCCACGATAATGTATTGCGTCACATATTCATCTTGCAAAAACCCCAGTTGTTTCTGTATATTTCATTTTTTGTGCCCACTGGCTATGCTACTATATGTACAAATACATCGTCTCATGTCGACATGCAAACGTCTGGCGACATAGATGCTTCGCGAGATCCCGGTCTACCAAAGCTCGTATCCCATCAGATGTCAACGTTACGCCTTTTACATTCATAAATCACCCCAGCCGCGCGCATGCACTACCGCGATCATTCCGCAGATAGTGGGATAGACCAGGAAAGCGGGGACGCTGGGTTTGCAGACGACGCTCGCTCCAAGAAAGGTGGTAATACAGCAAAGAGAAGAGTCATGGTATTATAGTCGATACATGGGTGTGTGGAGAGGCGTTTAGAAGGGGATCGAGCCGGCTGACATTGCGACGCCCTGTTGTTCTTGCTGTTCCATGACGGCCTCGTCGGCGGCTTCTATCGCAACGGCCAGACCAAGCTTGGCGGCATTCTACGAGTTTGTCAGTATTTGCTATGAGACTGGGAATTGGCGAGACTTACGCTCTTGTGGTCGATTTCGCCTGAGAAGGTTACGCGGATTGGCGGCGCAATCATCTTCTCCAACAAACACGAGACCTTGCCCTGGTTGTCGATCTGCGCCCTGTACGACGATTGGCGGAAATCGTACTTGGCACCAATTGTGACATTGCCCTCCTTCTGTGGTCCGGCCATGGGTCCTCCGGGGCCAATTCCAGCGAATGCGAGGTTGCAGTTGATACCCGTCTCAACCTTGTCTGTAAGCCTGCGCCAGTATGAAGCCTCCAATACGCCACGGTCGGGAATGATCTGACCGCACGCCATCCAGTCGACAGCCCTGTAGCGTGCCGCATACGAGACGTTCAGCTCTGGTGGGTATGCCATAGCGGGGCGGGTCCAGAATGCATCGATACCGAGCGAGAGCTTGGGGGTGACGGCCTGGAGGTAGCTGGCCATGAGCATGCCGGTGATACCACCATCGAGTATGGAGGGGTTGACAGCTTTCAGCGAAGCGGAGAAGTCGGCGCCAGTGTAGTCGTTCTCGAGCGACACCATGTTGCCTTGTGATGTGAGCTGGACGGCGGCCTTGGAAACGAATGCTGACGTCCAGCGCCAGTTGAAGCGACCGGAGAAAGCAAGCTCGTTGTCGAGGTTTCCTTGCATGAACACCTTGAAAAGTCAGCGTGAGAAGGCTGCCGACGATCTGAGCGACAAACCCGTGGTGATCCATAGAGAACCATGTATGAGTATGGTGGCATGACCTGCGATCCCATAGACAACGAGTGCGCAACCTGGAATAGAGGAGCGGCGCTGAAGGCTTTGGTGAGCTCGGCGCGCAGGCCCGAGAAGCTGGAGTTGTTCAGGAAGACATCGCGCTGGACCTCTCTCGCAATGTTCTCGACTGTGCCCGGGTTGCTGAGGCCCAATGCCTCTCTCCGCTCTTGGAACGCATCGTATACATTTAGGAATTGTGCGAATGGACCGGTGTTGGCGGCGCGAGGGCGTGATAGGATGTCGGCGACAGCTTGTTCCTGCGCTGGGTTGAATTGCAGCGGAGTGGCCATGGCGAAAATATGTGCCGAGGTCAAACTAAAAACTCCCTACGGTGTGGGAGAGCTTGCACAAGGTGGGATGGAAATGGCAGTAAACGGTTGGAGGGCGATGTTGGGTCGCGTTCGCTAGCATGACGATATCGAACAGAAATTCTAAAGTCGTCACGTGACGTGACCTACTGACGCTAGAGCTTATCAGATCTCTAGTACCCAGGATGTGCCGTCGCCCGTTGATACCATGATTGCTTTTTGGGATCACTGACTACCTAACCCCGCAAAGTACTGCCTGACTACCTCCAGACTCCAGACCCTTCTGCGACACTGTTACGTGGAACTTGCTGCACTTGACTGTTACGGGTTGCCGCACCTTGTTTGCTGACATCTCTCGGCAAACGCTATCATCGCCGGAACCTTGGAACTGTGACCTTTGAACCGAACGCAACTCTATTTCATTGACATTCGACCGTTTCTCCTCCCGTGCATCTTGCACTTCTTCCCTTTTCCTCCATCACACTCTTCCAACAACCTGAAGAATTTGCAATTATGGATACCCTACTGTGAGTGCCATGACCCCACTTTCCGCAGCGATGCGAAAGTACCAACGCAGGCCACCTCCTGAACAGGACATTCACTTATCATGGACAGTACCGCTGAGATATACGCAAACTCACCCCGCTTCCGGCGGCGGTCGAGTACTTTTGTCGACGCAATCCACGACTTACCCACCAAAGAGGAAATGGCTCCCGCTCAACTCTATAGCACAGAGTCAGGCCGCCTCTTCCATTCCGGTCGCATAGTCATCGCCACCTGTGGACTACCAGCTCGAGGAAAGACACACACATCTGTCGCCTTAGCCCGCTACCTCCGGTGGCTGGGTGTCAAGACGCACGTGTTTCATCTTGGCGACTACCGCCGCGCTACGCTAGGTCCGGACAACGATGTCCCCGACGACTACTTCTTTCTGAACGCATCGCCGCAATCTGTCCTATTACGCAACAAGATTCTCAAGAAGTGCCGTGAGGATATCTACCACTTTCTGGAAAACGACAAGGGCCAGGTGGCTATTTACGACGCCGTCAATGCAATCAGTCAAGGCCGTAGATCTTTAGCGAAAGAGTTTGCCAAGAACGGGATCCAGACAGTCTTCATCGAATCACATTGTACCGACGAGCGCATCATCCAAGAGAACGTCCGCCGGGTCAAGATCTCTTCACCAGATTACCAAGGATGGAAAGACGAGGATGCGGTTCACGATTACCTAGCACGCATCAACGCGCGGATACCGCATTTCGAGACTATGGAGGAGCCGGACCTACACTGGATCAAGATGATCAACGCTGGCGAGCGAGTGGTAGTCAACAATTGCGCATTCGGATACCTCTCCCAACGAATCGTCTTCTACCTGCTCAACCTTCACATCAAGTCACGGCAAACGTACTTTGCTCGGGCAGGAACTACGCGAGAGGAGGACTCGTACAAAGCCGACGCAGACCTATCACCAGCAGGTCATGAATACGCCAAGAAGATGAGCGAAGTACTCCTGAAGTATCGCGAAGAGGAGAAGCAGAAGCTGATCGAGTCGGGAGCAACTGATGCATCGCTGAAACCGTTGACGATCTGGACTTCCACGCGCCGAAGGACTGTACAGACATCAGAGGTTCTAGCCTCCATGGGCTACCGCGTCAGACAGCGATCGCAAATGAGCCAGATGAACCCTGGTGTATGCGAGAAGATGTCAGAAGCCAAGATCCGCCAGGAATTCCCCGAGGAAGTCAAGAAGCACGAAGCTGACCCGTACCACCATCGATACCCGCGCGCAGAGTCATACCATGATCTTGCAGTGCGCATGGAGCCCATCATCCTAGAGCTTGAGCGTGAAGAGAACGATCTTCTCATCATCGCTCACGAGTCTGTTCTTCGTGTGCTTTACGGATATCTAATGGCATGTAACGCAGCCGACATACCCAAGCTCGAGTTCCCTCGCGACGAGATCATTGAGGTAAGCTCATCTATACTACTCGCTGCCATCCTTATCCTTATATTAACACCCTCCCAGATCATACCCTCCTCCTACAACAACGTGGCAAAACGCATTAAGATTCCCGAGCTACCCGAATCCATGGTTCCTGGAAGCCCCGAAGACATCAAGATCCCCGTCCCACCCAGTGGAGCCGTAAGTCCACTATCTGGAATGGGTACCCCTCAAGCTGGCTCCGGCACCGCGACACCCCAGCATGGTGTGCAACCCCTGAATCTGAAGGCACATATTAACCCTTCTTCTTGATCAGGTGCGGTATCGGTGTCGGTACGGCGCTACGTTCGATAACGAGCGATCGAGCCAACAGACGGACTATGATTCGGATTAAGGAGCATATGGGGTACGTGCAGCGCTACGAATGGCTTGTGGATAGGCGATGAGGATTTCGGCATAAGTACACGGACGGACACTTGTCTGGGCGTTGGGGTGCGGTGTATTGAAGACCGTCCCTAGATTACACTTGGCTTCTTGACCTGTTATTCAATATCCTTATGAGCATGACCTTCTCAATCTCCATCATCACTATGCTTTGTTTGGTAAGTTCAAGGCGAACAGATCTTGGGTTTTATGTTCTTCATTGCTTCATGTAATGATGGATGATGTCTTCGTTACCGTCTAACGACAATTCTCCACCCATGATCATATGTAAGCCTTGATTTCCATGCCGACTAACAAGGAAGACGTCGCAGCAACACCATATCGCCGCCCGCCATTCCTTTGTCAAAGTGATATCCAGAGAGTCTCTGACCGTGCCTTCATCACACTCCAACGTCCCCGCCATCCAAGCCATGTTCGTTACTCATTGCCTAGCGTTCGCACTCGAATATAGGGTCAGTTCAAGTCGTGTTAGACATAGTCGCAATGACAGCTTACTCATTGCCCCAACCCTTGTCGATAGCCCACTGCCATCCACCCCAACCATCATGATCACGGGGGCGGACCCTGAACGGCTCGTCCTCACGCGCAGCAGGGCACGCCCAAGTATCACCTAAACCGATGCCGTAGTACTTGAGGCCATAGCGAGTACCGTCGTTCTGACCAGGAGTGAGGGGGCGCGCGTCGGACGGCATCTCAGGTAGATCGAGGTCGAAGAGGTCGGGAAGAATACCCAGAAGGCACTCCATCTCAGCGTCAGTCTCGTGGATGTCAGCATAAGTGGGGGCATGGTGGTTCTCGAAGATGTCGAACGGCGGAGTGGCAGAGGGAGCGGGAGCCGGGAAAGTGAAGGCGAAAGGGTGGGAGGGCTCTCCGAACTGCTGCATGTAGTGAGCCATGGAAGAAGGTTCTGGTGGGGACCAGCGTACTACGGGCGCGGGGCTCTCCAATGCTGGGACATGGCGAGGGAAGCCGCTGCGTCTCTGTTGGTTGTTAGGCTTCTGTGCATGCATTTCTGCGGGAGTGGGCCAGACTACAGTGTTCTCTGCACGGAATGGACGCTCGGGAAGGGTCGCCGGCATGAAACCTTGGAACCTCTCTGTAGGCTCTGCTTGGTAGGACGGGCGGCGCGGCATGAAATTCGCATCGTCGGGGTAGATGTCGGCGTGCGAAGGCTCGGGACCTTGATCAGTGCGCTTGGTACGGGTCAGCGCTCGTGGACGTGGGCGGTAATCTCCTGGACTAGAAAGCTCAGGTACATGATCCCGGCGAGACGGCCAGTTGGGAGTCTGGAGGTTGCTGAAGCGACGAGGCTGTCCGAAGCCCGCAGGACCTGTAGGTACTTGCTGTAATGGTGACTGCATGGCCGCTGGGTTGATAGAGCTACGCTCCTCCGCGAAGATCCTACGAGGACGTTCGCCCATAAAGCCAGGAGGCGCGGGAACAACTTTGGTAGACTGGCGTTCTTCATCTGCGCGCTCTGGATAGCGATCTTGAATGTAGCTCTTGCGACGTAGAGGTGTCTTAGCGGCGTCGTCCTTGTCCTTGCCGCTGAGGTATTGGGCTAGGTCATTCGCGGTTAACGGCTTGTCCAGCGCTCGTCCTATGAGCTTACCCAATACGCCTTCTGAAAGGCCTTCAGAGCCGTGAGACTGGAGGAAGCGTGCTGAAGAGTCGACGTTAGTCGTCTCGTTCTTGATACCAGGGAGATCGAGGCCCGCACTCAGCTCTCCGACGTCTGGCGCCTTGGAGTCAGGGTTGAGTCGCTGACCAGGGAGGAGACCACGCGGACTGTTGATAGAGTTTCCTGTGAGGTTACTGCGAGAGATTGCACCGGGGCGTTCACGGTTCAAAGTGATGTGGTGGTCTAGATAAGTCAGCTTTCGATCATCGCATTGTGATATGGTTGACGTTACCTTGAAACATCTCCTGCAGAGAATCCAATGGCACGTCCTGCTGCTTGAGTGGCTTCCGCGAGGACTCTCCGAACTTGAGCTCTTCGTAGCCCTGGTAGTTAGGTCGCAGATCCCTGGAAGGCCGGAAAGGCGAGTCTTTTACAATCCAGTCAGTCTTGCTAGAGGTGCTCGCGGGAGAGAAGACTTACCATCGAACACGTCTCCCATCTTCGGTTTCTGTCGCGGGCTGGTAGGCGGAGTCGGACCTGCAATTCCGGCAGACATGCTGGTCTCGGCTGCCGTTGGACTGAAAGTTGGTGCTTCTGGGTTGAACGAGACAGACCTTCGCGAGGCTCTCGGCTGCTTCTGCTCCATGTTGTGTCTTTGGTACAGAAGTATTGTCAAAAGAGAGCGTCTTATATGAGCGTGAGATGGCGGCGCTTGGGCATAAATGCTTGAGACCAGATACGACAGTGAATGCTGCGGTGACTTGCGATTTCGATTGTCCGTCACCTTCGTTTACAGCGAGTCGGTCGGCAAAACCAGCCTGAAGTGTCGCAGTGAATAGCGATTTACACGTAACAATAGGTTCGTAACGAGCGACTTAGTTAAGACTGTCGTAGATATTCGAGCATAGCTGGGAGAGGAAATGAGTGTAGATGGTGTCGTTAGATTGACCAGGCGAGGCTGGTTTGGACTGAGCTCATGATTTCTACATCAAGCTGTGCAAGTGAAGGTGAGTATCGAGCGCCACATAGTGTGGCTTGCCAGGCTACCTGGGCAGCGCCTGATGCGAAGGTGAAGGTACACACCCTGCGCCATTGCGATGATCATGGTCAGGGATGTGATTTGGGTGGCAAAACATGCCTTTGACGTCTTGGGCATATGCGAAGTGCTCTAGCATCGGCTCCCGCGCTTTTTATGAGGTTTGACGCCCCCACGAAGCCAGTCAGCGTGTGGGTGATCGTAGACTAAACAGCGCACGGACGGTCTCGATGACTGCTCGCGTGAGACTTCTGGGACAGCACACCAATCAGAAGCGAGCACGATGACGCCCTGACGCGCCTCATTGAATAGGCTGGAGTGCAACCTATGTTTAAAACCCTCGCACAACACGCCCCTTTGCGCCTGCTACATTCAAAGTCAGAGCTTCTAATTTTTTTCAGGCTCACAGCCCCAGTTCACATTACGACCACCTCGCTAATCTGTGGTAAACCACAGCACGCGACCCCATCTTTTTCCACCACAATAATGCACACTAGCTTCACCAGCATAAATCAACAAATACACCAGCCAGACCATCATACTCACCATGCCGATGATGTTCACCCCAGACGACACGTTGCTTTTCTCACCTAGCAAGAAACAGCCGTTTGCTCACTCACCTTATGGTCACGAGATACGGACTGCGACTCGATGTCACCATGGACTCCACCCCTCCAATCCACAACATACTCCGTGGTGTTCCAAATGCACAGTTTCGCAGGCTAGAGCAAAGTCCGACGTTGCACTCAAGAAGCTGGTAGCCGAAGGCGGATTAAGACCTCCAGTGTACATGCGCGACCGACGGTGGAACAGGGCAAGAAACGGGTACCTGATAGCGAAGCAGCGACTCGCGAAGACACGCAAAGAGGAGCAGCTGCGCTGGGAGCGCGAGCGAGCGTGGGACGACGCTCACACCCAGTTCAACCCCAACACCATCCAGGCAGCAGTCTTACCCAACAAATCACCCTCGTTGTGCCCCGTCTGTGACTCCTTGGTATCATCTTACCCCACAACTATGCCTGAGGCGCAACCCACAAAGTACGAGGCTTGGTGGGAGAGACCAAGCGCTCTTGCCACCTCACACATACTCGTGCGCCAGACACCACCACGTTCGCGCAACCAGCATCCTACACCCACGCAAACACATAGAGGCAACCCCATACTGCGCCAGATAATCGCAGACAAGCGCAAAGAATTGCACTCGGACGCCAACTTGCGACGAGCCTGGGAAGCCCGAGACAAGACCGAGGCAGCGCTACGTCGCAAGCACGGCTTGGGCGACATGCCCATCAACAAAGATTTCTGGGACTACCCGATCTCTGGCTACTTTAGTCGCCTTACCCATCAGAACAACAGAGAAATGGTGCGTTCAGCGGAACGGCGCGCGCGCGGTAACACAACGCGTCCCAGACCGCCGCGCAGCTCACTGTCCTATTCGGAAACGACGGACGACGTGGAAGTCGAACCAGGCTTTGAAGAGACACTGAAAGAGAAGGAAGAGCGCGAGGAATGGGAGCGACAGGTCCGAAAAGTCGCAAGCGAAGTTGGATACCTTTATTTCGTCGGCGGTGGCAACAACCTTTTGGAATCGTGGGAAGAAGATTACGAGCGGAGTGCCGATTATCTCATTACGAGGAACGAGACTCCTGTAGCGGAAACGGCGAATGAGGGCGATGTCCAGGATGGGAGTGAGACAACGGATGGAGATGCCAACGAGGAGGATTGGGGTGATGAAATGGATGTCGATGACGTTTAGGAGGGTGATGATGCATTCTGTCATATCAACAGCGCTTAGATTGCTAGTTGGGTCGTTGTATAAGAGATACACAGTGTACGGTTATATTAATGATTGAGGGGTTCAGACGCCTCCGTGGACATACGATTGACGTGCTGTGTGAATGGGCGCCGTATAGTGGATGTCATCGCTCGTGGGGTTTCTGCGGATCAATCTTGTGGCGCTTCTGGAATGTGTCGTGTGGGTATAGATGACATCGAAGCATGGGTTGAGCGGACGATGCACAAAGCGTTGACGACGCCGACGCGCGTGTGAAAAAGCTTGTCTAGCGCTAACCAATCTAGGTGCCTTTTGTTGTCGATCGGGAACAGGAGCGAAATCACATTATGTTCTCCGAAAATCTCACTTTTGTTACTATATCGTAGCGCTGTCATGCGAACTGTATATCTTCATGACTGAGCTACAGGTCAAGCAGTCCTCAGCTTCTCATCTGCCGCCCGTACGTCACCACCATCACCGGGCAGCTCATACATCACATCACTGCCCTGAACTTCCACAACGCCTACTTCACCCGAGCCCTTCAATTCCCAAGCCTTCTCCACAGTCTGGAGCTCAGATGCTTCCCTGTCCATGGCCTCATGCTTCGCTGAACCAGCATCTAATTCGAACCTCTCTTTTTCCATAGCCTCAATTCCCAGCTTGTGCTCACCATGCAGTTCGGCTTTTTTGTAGTCGTTCTGGTCGCCGTCCCCGTTCGAGGTCTTGCTTCGGAAAGGAACCCATTTCTTCTTCCAGGCTACGATCAGCCACAACGCCGAAAGCGCTATGATGCCCGCACCTACGCCGATCCCCGCATATGCAGACGAGGAAAGGTTCTTCGGGCTGTTTGTGGGTGAAGGTAGAGGCAGATCTGAACTTTGACTGGGTTCGGATAGTGAGGGAGTTGACACGATGTTCGTGGAGCCATTATCATGAGACGCTTGACTTAGATTGAAACTCTGTGTTTCGTAGTTGACGGTAATGTAAGTTTCCTGCAGGAATGCTCGACCGAGCATGTGTTGTGCGGGCTCTGAAGCTCGCTTCAAGGGAAAGTAGTATGTAGGGGTATCTACAAAAGGGTATGTGAGCCTGAGATCGAAAGCTGAATATGGAAGCGTATAGTTTGTTGCTTGGTCGTCAAGTCCGATAGTGAATTGTACCTCGGGGTTCTCGCGTAAAAGCCGTATATGTGTTGTATCGTTGACAAGATACAGTTCCAATGTGTCGTCCCAGACCAGTCCGAACGCAGCTTCAAACATCGCACAAGCGTCCTCCGGGAGCCATATTTGTGGAACTCCGGGATCAATTGGAAATGCTGTTTGCAGAGATGGTTGCGCTCGTTCCCACGAAGCGACCCCATTGATAGTGATTGCAGTTAAGTGTACAAAGAACCAATTGCTCTTCTCAGTTGAGAATTTCCATTGCGTAGTAGTTTCAGGACCGAATCGTGAAGAATCGTACCCGCCCAAGATCAGACTAGCTAATGTATTGCCTGCGAAAACATTTAGTTATGAGCCACGAGTCCTCCCAGATTAGTTACATACGATTAAAAGAGCCCGCTGTATAGCCAAAACTCAAGCTAGGAATGATTTTGGAGTTCCACAGTGATAAGAGGAGTGAAGGTCTTGCTGCCCCAGGAGGGCCGACGAAATCCGGGAAGAGACCCAGTGTCGCAAGTTGGAACCTCTTGAAGAAAGTCTCGGCGATATACTGTGATGGAATTTGGCGGTCTTGTGCGGTCTTTCCGAGGTATACATCATCAACACCCCATGAAGCGAGGCCCGGGTTGTCTTCTTCGCCTTCTTCGCTAACGTCGGGGTAGCTGCTCAGATATTCGGTTATCTCTACAGGCATACGACTGCGCTCTACCCACTCCCAGGTATTTGACGAGTCTCCATAAAAGAAAGCGCATGTATCATTGCACCATCTGCTTTCCCTCGGCACAATGACAACCGGGGAAATCGGGCCAGGAATGCACCGAAAGGATTGAACTGGATTACCCACAGAGAGGTCCAAGGTTGACCACGGACCGTCTGCGCCGTCCCTATCCCACAGTTAGTTATATCTCGGACTCATCATCATGACAAGTTACCAATGTCCGCTAGGCGCGACGACAAGCGGCGCCACAGAAGCTGCCTGACCCAAAGAGCACCCTAACCAGACTGCTACAAGCCACATACGAGCGGGAACGGTAAGGCGAAATGCCATGACGATTTGGTTCTTGTGCCCGCGGTTCTGCACCAGCACATTCGTCAAAGCAATTGATGTTGTAGTTCGGGAGTAGAAGAAGTGGACCTGAAACTGGCTGAAGCCTCGGGAAGTAAGCAGTGGCGGGAAAGCTAAACATGCGGGGGCCATAACGACTGCTTGTCCCCGATGTAGAAGAAAGACATGGGTTTGAGATTGCAGACGGGATGTCAATCACTGTTGGGGGCCAGTATGCGCCAAGTAGTCCTTACCGGTCTGGAACTGTTACGCTAACCTGCAAAAGAACGAAGGCCGAGCGAGCGTGCAATGTAAGCTGTGTATCGAACTTCGAAACAGGCACCTCGGATGTGACCTATTTGAGAACTTGAATATGCTTCGCTCTTGCTGAGAAAGGTCATGTATTCATTCTCAATATCAAAGGGTATACAGACTCACAAAACCAACCCCCCTCCCCCACACCCCTCACAACTCCCTCCTCTTCCTCGCCTCCTCATCCCCCTCCGCAACCTCACCCGTCCTCTTCAGATCCACAAAGTCGCCCTCCTCCTCAAGCGCATCAACATCACCCTTCTCCTTCGCCTTTTGAAGTTCCTCCGCCTCTTTCCTATCAGCCTCCTTCTGCATCTGCTCATCTACTTCTTGTCTCTCTACAATCTCCGCTTCTTCACCAACTTCTCCCGTCAACGGGCCCTCACTCTCTTCGTACCAGTCCGTCGACTCTGTCCACTCGATGATCTTCTCCTTGGCTGTCTCGCTGAGAGTGTAGTAGCCGGGGTTGTTGCGAGGCTCAAACATGGAGGTGTGGGCCCAGGTTTCCGCTGTAGCTTTGTCGTTCACGGCGGGCATGAAGAAGTCCTTGAGAGGGCCTTTGGGAAGGTTGCAGAAGGTGCGGTCTTTGCCTGCCACTTTGCCTGTCCAACCATGTTCCTTGTTCTCGCTGTTAACGGCATGGCCGAGCGTGGTGTGCATGTTGCAGAAGCCGAGACCGTGGCTCGTTGTGAGCTTTGCAATCTTCTCGAGTCGCTTCCGCATCTCTTCGGGGCGGGCTAAGACTCCGACGAATTCCAGATGCGATGTGGCCCATGATACGCCCTGAGTGATCTGGTCCTTCTTCATGTAGGCTGCTGCGCCTCCTGCTGCTATTGCGCCCGCTGCACCAGCGAACATGGCTACCTTCCCATAGCGTTGCCAGAGCGGTGCCGATGCTGCGTCGCCAGTAGACGAGGGTGCTGGGAGCATCTTGCTCGTATCGACGGCACCAGCCGCAGTGTCCTTCCCGCCCCATCCGAACGCGCCTGCGAGGTTGTTATACGCCGAGTATGCCGAGCTCGCGGTGTTCCAATGCTTCTCCGCGCCATGTGCCACTACGCCAGGCGCTATACCGAGGTATGGTGTGTCGAAAGCGAGGATGCCCTGTATGTACGGGAACATGAGCGCCGAATGGTCGGCAAGCGAGCCCGTAGAGCCGGTCTGCGAGTTGGACTGCGAATGGATCGGCTGTTCAGCGAGGATGGAGAGGAGCGTCTCAGCCGCAACGATGCCGCCCATAGAATGGCCTACGAGTATCGTGCGCACCGAAGGGTCGACGGTGGGCGAGGGGGTTGAATTGGCGACCTCGAGGTCTATTACTTTGTTCTGGAGCCATTCTTTGAAGCGGCCGACGCACTCGTGCAAGTCGCCTCGCGTCTCGAACTGGGGGTACGTGATGGTGAGGACGGTGACCTTGGGCAGCGCATGCTGGAGGAGCGCCTTCACGTGGCTCGGGAAGGTTCTGAATGTTTCATCTCCACCCTATAGCACGTGTCAGTATCGTTCTCGCATGTGTTCGCACCGCATTGGGCGTCGCATTGCACATGGCTGGGCCTGAGACATGCGGACACGACCCCGGCGATGACGTAATGAGGATATCTCGTGAATGACCCGTACCTTGAAGCCGTGGATGAAACACAGCAATAACGTCTTCCTCATGGTCCTCGACTCTACTCCTGTGCTCCTGCATGGTGGTGGGGCTGGGTTAGTGGAGGGCTGACGATAAGTCGACTGGGCGGGAAGGCGATTACGTCTGGGGTGCAGCTACGCTCGCTTACATGGCAGGGGGCTGTTGGCCGGAAGGGTCGATTGCCGTGGAGCAGCACGGCGACATGAGAGTAATTTGAAAGAGTTGGATAAATGCGCAGGCAGAAGGAGAACCACATGCAGGTAATTGAGAGAGTGAGGTATCCATGTGCTTTGATTCATCGTTTCACGCAAGCTTTCGCTGCTGTGAGTGCCCTTAATTGTGTCCACCTATGCTACATGACTACTCCGTGACACATGGTCTCTCTGACACTCCCGGCTGTCGTGACTCTTCTCTGCCAATCCATCAATGCGGGTATAGTACAAACAATGCAAACTCCAACGCCATATCGTGAGCCTCTTCGGCAATGCATAAACATAAGAAAGGTGTAGACACAGTGCTACTAACTGCCCGTAAGCAGCACAATGGCTACTGCAGATAGACTTGCTATCGACAGATCCGAAGCTTTGAGCTGCCATGATGCGCCTACCGCAACGACGTCGAACGGTGAGCCACCGCCCGAGTCAGTGTTTGACAGCTGGGCATTCGGTGCTTGTGTCGGATCCGCCGCCCGCGCAGTGTCTGTGGGTGGTGCGACAGAAGTCGTGAACGTTCCAGTGGCATTCGGATCCAGCGTCAAGCCCCCTGTTGACGAGCTCGTAGATGTCGGTTGCGCTGAACTCGTCGGCTCGTCATCCCCATCGTCCGAATCCGCTGT